AAAATGGGAAAATGTCCCCAAACTCCAAAAATCACCCAAAAAATGGGAAAATCCCCCAAAATAACGGGAAAATCCTCAAAATAATCGGAAAAAATTAAAAAAAAAAAAAAAAGGAAAAATCCCCAAAATAACAGAAAAAAATCCCCAAAATAACGGGAAAAAAAAATCCCAAAAATAACAGGAAAAAATCCTAAAATAAGGGGAAAAATCCTCAAAATAATCGGAATAAAATTTTTAAAAAATGGGAAAAATCCCCCAAAAAATCGAAATAAAATTCAAAAAAAAGGGGAAAAATCCCCCCCAAAACCGGGAAAAATCCTCAAAACAACGGGAAAAAAATCCCAAAAAATTGGGGACACTCCCCCAAACCCCAAAACCCCAAAAACCCCAAAATCCCCCCCAAAATAACGGGAAAAAGCCCCAAAATAATCGGAAAAAATATTTAAAAAATGGGAAAAATCCCCCCCCCAAAATGGGAAAAATCCCCAAAAATAAGGGGGCAAAGTCCTCAAAATAATGGGAAAAAAATTTTAAAAAAAGGGAAAAATCCCCAAAAATAACGGGAAAAATCCCCAAAATAATCGGAATAAAATTAAAAAAAAAAAAAAAAGGGATAAATCCCCCAAAAATGGGAAAAAAACCCCAAAATAATGGGAAAAAAATTTTTTAAAAATGGGAAAAATCCCCCAAAAAATCGAAATAAAATTAAAAAAAAAAGGGAAAAATCCCCCCAAAAACCGGGAAAAATCCTCAAAACAACGGGGAAAAAATCCCCAAAAATTGGGGACACCCCCCCAAACCCCAAAACCCCAAAAAACCCCCAAAATCCCCCCAAAAATAACGGGAAAAAGCCCCAAAATAATCGGAAAAAATATTTAAAAATGGGAAAAATCCCCAAAAATAAGGGGGGAAAAGTCCTCAAAATAATGGGAAAAAATTTTTTAAAAAAGGGAAAAACCTCAAAAATAACGGGAAAAATCCCCAAAATAATCGGAATAAAATAAAAAAAAAAAAAAATGGGATAAATCCCCCAAAAATGGGAAAAAAATCCCCAAAATAATGGGAAAAAATTAAAAAAAAAATGGGAAAAATCCCCCCCAAAAAATCGAAATAAAATTCAAAAAAAAAAGGGAAAAATTCCCCCAAAAATCGAAATAAAATTCAAAAAAAAGGGGAAAAATCCCCCCAAAAACCGGGAAAAATCCTCAAAACAACGGGAAAAAAATCCCCAAAAATTGGGGACACCCCCCCAAACCCCCAAAATCCTAAAAAATCCCAAAAATTCCCCCCAAAAATTCCCCCATGGGGGTCGGGCTCACCGGTCCCCGTAGAGCAGCGGCTGCGAGAGGCACTGAGTGCAAGCCTCGTGAAACCACTGAGAGCAGCGGCGGCACTGCAGCATCTTCAGGTTCCAGCTGGGAAAAAAAACAAAAAAAACGGGAATTTGGGGATTTTGGGGAATTTTTGGGATTTTGGGGATTTGGGGAATTTTTGGGAATTTTTTGGGAATTTTTTGGGGGGTTTTGGGGGGTTTTGGGGGAGGTTTTAGGGGATTTATTTGGGATTATTTGGGATTTTTGGGGGAGCTCTGCAGCATCTTCAGGTTCCAGCTGGGAAAAAAAAAAACAAAAAAAACGGGAATTTGGGGATTTTTGGGGAATTTTTGGGATTTTGGGGAATTGGGGAATTTTTGGGAATTTTTTGGGAATTTTTTGGGGGGTTTTGGGGGAGGTTTTAGGGGATTTATTTGGGATTATTTGGGATTTTTGGGGAGCTCTGCAGCATCTTCAGGTTCCAGCTGGGAATGAAATTCGGGAATTTGCGGGATTTGGGGGAATTTTTGGGATTTTGGGGAATTTTGGGATTTGGGGAATTTTGGGGAATTTTTTGGAAATTTTTTGGAAATTTTTTGGGACGGGTTTGGGGAGGTTTAGGGAGGTTTTAGGGGATTTATTTGGGATTATTTGGGATTTTTTGGGGAGCTCTGCAGCATCTTCAGGTTCCAGCTGGGAAAAAAAACCGGGAATTTGGGGGATTTGGGGGAATTTTGGGATTTTGGGGATTTGGGGAATTTTTGGGAATTTTTTTGGAATTTTTGGGAATTTTGGGGAGGGTTTTGGGGGAGGGTTAAGGGTTTTATTTGGGATTATTTGGGATTTTTGGGTGCACTGCAGCATCTTCAGGTTCCAGCTGGGAAAAAAAATCGGGAATTTGGGGATTTTTGGGAATTTTTGGGATTTTGGGGAATTGGGGATTTTTTGGGAATTTTTTGGGAATTTTTTGGGAATTTTTTGGGAATTTTTTTGGGAGGTTTAAGGAGGTTTTAGGGGATTTATTTGGGATTATTTGGGATTTTTTGGGGAGCTCTGCAGCATCTTCAGGTTCCAGCTGGGAAAAAAAACCGGGAATTTCGGGGATTTGGGGGAATTTTGGGAATTTTGGGGATTTGGGGAATTTTTGGGAATTTTTTGGGAATTTTTTGGGAAATTTTGGGGAGGGGTTTGGGGAGGTTTTAGGGGATTTATTTGGGATTATTTGGGATTTTTGGGGAGCTCTGCAGCATCTTCAGGTTCCAGCTGGGAAAAAAAAAACAAAAAACCGGGGAATTTGGGGATTTTTGGGAATTTTTGGGAATTTTGGGGAATTGGGGAATTTTTGGGAATTTTTTGGGAATTTTTTTGGGGGGTTTTGGGGGAGGTTTTAGGGGATTTATTTGGGATTATTTGGGATTTTTTGGGGGAGCTCTGCAGCATCTTCAGGTTCCAGCTGGGAAAAAAAAAAAACAAAAAACGGGAATTTGGGGATTTTGGGGAATTTTTGGGATTTTGGGGAATTGGGGAATTTTTGGGAATTTTTTGGGAATTTTTTGGGGGGTTTGGGGGAGGTTTTAGGGGATTTATTTGGGATTATTTGGGGTTTTTTGGGGGAGCTCTGCAGCATCTTCAGGTTCCAGCTGGGAGAGGAAATTCGGGAATTTTGGGGAATTTTTAGGAATTTTGTGGATTTTTGGGTCTTTTTGGGAATTTTTTGGGGGGGGTTGGGGAGGTTTTAGGGGAATTTAAGGAAGTTTTAGGGGATTATTTGGGATTTTTGGGATTATTTGGGATTATTTGGGATTATTTGGGATTATTTGGAATTTTTGGGGATTTTTGGGGAGCTCTGCAGCATCTTCAGGTTCCAGCTGGGAAAAAAAAAAAAACAAACGGGAATTTGGGGGATTTTTTGGGATTTTGGGGAATTGGGGAATTTTTGGGAATTTTTGGGGGGTTTGGGGGAGGTTTTAGGGGATTTATTTGGGATTATTTGGGATTTTTTGGGGAG